TTCTCGTTGTCTTTAATTTTTTATCATTTTATTTTTTTGTTGTTTTTTTTTTTAATAATTATTTAAACTGGAGGGTGACATTTTAGTAATTTTCATACTTAAATCAAACGGAGTTAAGGTCAAAGGTCTGAAAACTAACGGCGAGCGCCACACTGAGACAATTTTTCAAGTAAGGGGGGCAAATCGATGCAATTGAGAGTAGAAGTGGGTAAAGTAATATCGAGCCAAAGTACAAAGGGGCAAATCGATGAATTAAAAATAGAAGGGGGTAAAGTGATATCGAACCAAAGTACAAGGGGACAAATCGATGCAATTGAGAGTACAAGAGGGTAAACTGATATCCAGCCAACCCTTACAATTATAATTATTTTTTGGGGGTCCCCACCGACTCCTAATTACTAATAATTCTTATTCTTGGGCTATTCCTTGAGATTACTTTTCTCAAGGTTTTGGGCCTTTATAAACATATATTTATGGGCCTACCCTTCTTCTACATTTTAATTTTGGGCCCGTATCAAGTTCAAACAATATTTACATGCTTACATTGTCTTCAAAGTCTATTTTCTTTTCTTTTTAATATTTATAATATTAATTATGTATTATTATTATTATTATTATTATTATTATTATTATTATTATTATTATTATTATTATTATTATTATTATTATTATTATTATTATTATTATTATTATTATTATTTTATAGGTCTATTTTTAGTAAATTTCAAATTTTAATGATTTATAGGGATTTTTTCAAACCTCCTTTTTTCTTCCATCCTGGGCCCTTGGCAATAAACATTGTTGTTGGAGAAGCCCAATACGAATTGGTCCAAAAAGTTATATCCACAATATAAAATACTTTTTGAAGTAAAAAAATAAATCGGCCCAAAAGGGTTAATTTCCATGGTCCTTGAATTAATATTAAATAACACTTGTGGTAAGTGTATTTTTTACTGTTTAAAATTTGCACCTCAAAATGGTTTTTAAAAAGACCCCATTTATAAAGCTTTAAACAGTAACTCAAACAAAATATGAACAAAATTGAACAAAAGCGAATCATGATTACAAATAAGGAATTACGTAAGTTGACAATACCATCAAAGGGATTCTCATTAGACTAAGTCACATACATAAGATTCGTCAGTTTATCAAAAGTAACTTTACAAAACAATAAAAAGAGACGGGAACCACTTACATTATACAACTCCATATCTTGAGAGGATGATAGGGACTCGTGGAAAAGGGGGGAAAATATTTATATTGAGGGTTATGGTAATTACAAAAATTCAGCAAACATTTGGAATCACAGACACCCCTTGAGCTTCACTTTATTTTACAATGTTACACACCCTTATCAGTAGGTAAAATTTTGAAAAAATAATTAAAACTGAATAGTGCCTACTGGATTCTGAAAATAAAAGCATCAAAATATTGCACATCTACAAATCAAAATGGCGACATCTATAGATTGTGAAAATTTAACCATGTACATAATCCATGATCAATCAATTTGTACCTGCTCCTGGTCCACGTCGTAGCCCTTGAGCGAATCCCAATTCACTTTTTTTGAGAAGACCTTATTTGCTGAGATGGAGACCGGAATAGGGTTCACCATACCTTGATCAATAAATAAAATTCCATCAACAAAAACGTATAAATGGTAGCAATTAACATCGTAAAAAAAATATCTGTAGATTAAAACTAACAAATTGGAGCACTATGAATAATCAATATCTGAAATTGTTTTGGCATAAATTGGAATACAATATGCAGGGCAAATAAACTGAATTTGAAGTGAATAACTTACAATACCATAGGTTATTTCAGAGAAGGATATGGAGATACAACGGGGAAATCGGGCTTGCATTCACATCTTGGGGATGTAAAACAGTTGAAGTGTTCCCTGCATACACCAACAATTTATCCGTTTAGAGGTATAGAACCACAATGGACTATTTTGTATTACATAACCATGTTTTCATCACGCGAGCAAAGATTAAAAAATAGAGGAGATGTATTAGATTACCTCTCATCCTAAAACGAATTTGTTATTGAACTGCATATTTGCACCGCCACCTGTCAAATAAATTAACTATATCAGCCATATAATTTCAGTGAAAGTGTTGATCCACATATATAGATATGCGAACACTTTTGTTAAAAGATGTCTACCTTTTGTTAAATTTAAAATTATTAAAAAGACATAATCATGAGAAATGTCTATGCGGTTGAGAAATTATAATCGTACAATCATTCTTCCTAGCAGTCCATGATAAAAGAACAAATTTGCAATGAAAGAAATTAAAAGAAAAATAAATCAATATAAATTACGCAACCAGAAACATATTCGTTCCAAACTCATTAACATCATCAATTCGAACATTAATCTCTAACTACTACTAATATAAAACTTAAATATCATTTCCAATACCATGTTCAAATATACAATGTTGATACCTAGTATTAATGCTAAACTGCTCAAACCATTTTATATTAGTTCCTCAAGATATGCAGATAACCAAATTACATTGATTTACATTTTGAAATACTAATTTTAATTGAATGCACTAATAAATAAACAATTGTAAAATTATTTATTTTGAAACTACAACACATGAATTATTGCATTTTTCTTAGAAAAAAGAAACATAGAAAAAAATAATCTTGGTTAACCATCTTCTTATAAATGAGCAATGAACTGATCACGAAGAGCATGCTCTTATAAGTGTGCAGACCAATTATCCAATCATTGAGAATAGTGGTGCTATATTTTAATTCACACACTCTTTAAAGACAACAAATTATTCAACTTCCAAAAATATAATAGTATAAAATCAGAAGATTCATTTCCGAATAAAACAAATATTTGGATGAAGAAAAACAAATTGGATATTCAGACATGCACAAACCCATTTATTCGAGAAAATCGAGGAAACCATGGATAAAAAATAAATATTTGGATGAAGAAAAATAAATTGGATATTCAGACACGCACAAACCCATTTATTCGAGAAATTCGAAGAAACCATGAATAAGAAGTGTGAGAGAGGCAGAGTTTAAAATTGTAGAGAATTACCTGAAGAACACGATTTAGAATCGATGAGAGAACAATCGATGAAGACAAAAAGAATAGAAGAAGTTGTAGGCGTGGTAGATAAAGTTGAGAAAATAAACAAAACATGGAAGAAGTTGAACCAAAAATAACGCGACTGTATAGTTATCTGTGTGCAGTTAGAAATCCGGGAGTTTTTTTTTTCTTAATTGATTAAGAGCAACTCCAATGCTAAACATCAAAATTGGATTATCAAATACTCATTTGATAATTAAGATAATAGTTTAATATCCATTTACAATTTATCTACTCCAACCATGGTTATCTAAATCAATGATCAATTGGAAGTTTTTTAGTGGTTTTATTTGTAATTGCCACGTGTCATTTTCTGATTGGATGTTTAGGTAGTTATTTTTTTGATAACTCAATTTCCGGGATGTATTTTTACATTCAAAGAGGTAGAATATCAAAATACTTACCCATTTTAATACTCCCATTGGAGTGGAAAATTTTAATTTTGGAATATCAAAAAGGTGGTTTATGGATTTGATAATCCATTTGATACTCCCATTGGAGTTGCTCTAATAACCCCAGTGATAAATAACCCCAGTGTGTAACAAAACTACAAAAACTGCCCTTAGGTTTGAAACCCTAAAAAGTGTCACGTGTCGCAATATTAGGCCAAGAATTGTCTTTATATATATATATATACATATATAGATTATATATATATTATATATATTATATATAAAAGAAAAAAAAGTTGGACAACCCTAAAAAACTCTAATGATATTTCTGTAATTATTTACTTTTAATATTTTTTCTCTACTAATTTCTAACTATAATTTTTAACTATTGTCAAAATTCAAACTAAACCGTGAAGAATTATACCCTAATGGTACTTCTATAATTATTTATTTTTAAATATTTTTTCTCTACTAATTTTCTAACTATAATTTTCAACAATTATCAATCTTCTATTTTTCATCAATATAATACTACATTATTAAACTTAAACACTATTATGTTAGTGTACTATATTTTCTTATTATGTATTAAATTGATTTTTTTTTTTACTTTTGAAATAATATCTCGTGCATCGCACGGGGAAACAATGCTAGTATATATAAATATAAAAAATGTTTTAATGTTTTCTAATTAAATTTATTCCATTTGGTGCATAAGATTCGTGTTTAGTCAATACAACTACACTTAAAGCCGGCAACTACATGCTATTATTTAATTAAATTAGTAGCACCTTATTACAATATCTAAATTTTACTAATTAAAAGATTATTTTAGACAATACACATTTAATATTAGAATTTAAAACATATATATATATATATATATATATATATATATATATATATATATATATATATATATATATATATATATAGAATACAAGATTTAATCTAAAAAATCAAACATGTTACTGATTAAATAATTAGTTAGTCAATGAAATATTAATCTAATATTACCTAATTCAATATTATCCGATATAAATAAGCAAACTAGGACGTAGGTGGTGTTTGCAAATGATTATTTAAAAGCAGAAGTTAGTGATTATGATTTAAGTTAGTTTTAAGTGCTTATTTCTAAAAGTTTGGGGTGTTTGCAAATATTTCGGAAAATGAACTAAAATTGAAAAAGTAGGGTTATGGGTGCTTTTAAAAAAATAGCTTAAAGCAGATTATTTTAAGAGAAGCAAAAGCAAAAGTTGATTTTGCAAACACCTAAAAACAGATTATGAGCAAAAAAAACTGCATAATCACTTTCAAAAAGCATTTGCAAACACCACTTTAGTGTATAATGGGGCAATATTGGCTAAAACCCCAAACATCAGGGGAGGAAAATGGAAGAAACCTAAACATCAACCGTACGTTACGGAGGTTTCCGTGATACAGTAAGCAAAATTAAAATAAGAAAATAAAATTAAAATAATAAAATAAAAAAAATAAAAATAAAAAGAAGAAGAAGAAGAAGAAAAACCCCTCGCCGTATTTCTCTCTCTGTAACTTGCAAATTGAACCAAAAAACCGAATTGAAATTTGTGAACGATTTTGCTGGTTGAATAATGGCTTTGTTCGGATCCAATATGTCTACAGAGGTACGGTTTCCATGATCTCTATTGACCTTCCGCAATTATTTAGAATTTTTGTTTTTTTAATTTCAGTTTTAGGTCGTGATTATAGTGTCAGGCAGTTTTTTTTTTGTTTCGCCTTGAATTCGTTGCAGCGCTGTGCGAATTTCTGTTTATGTTCGTGATTATCTTATTTACTGTAAATTTGAAAATGTGAAAATAGAAGAAGATGAATGAACTTGTTTATTTGATCGGAATCTGTGTGTGTTTCGAGTGTGTGCTTGTATGTAGTTGCAATAATCAATAATTAGCTGTTCATTTTTCTATGTGATTTTATTTTTATTTTTTTTAATTATTATTGAATTGAAGTTCTTTATATTGTAAGTAACTGGAAATGTGATTTTAACAGTGATATGAACTCTGATTAGTGCAGGTTGGGTTGAGATTACTTCTTTCCCCCCTCGGTTCTAATGTTGTTACTCGTACGGCGTGGTGAGTTTCGAATTAATTATATCGCTTATTTTACGAGATTTTGAATTTTACAGATAGGTGTTGTGTTTTAATGCGCGTGTCTTTTGCAGCTGTTCTGTAGGGATTGTTTTACCTGTTTATTCTACATTCAAGGCTATTGAGTCGAAGGATCCAGATGAACAACGTAAATGGCTCGTCTACTGGGCTGGTTAGTTATGTAACCATTAAATGATGGCTTTTATGATGCAAAGTTCATATTTTTTATTTGTGTATTTTCTAAAATCTTTACAAATCATCCGTGTTTTTTAACCATGTTGATGAAGTATAACATTCTTTGATGTTTTTGGTCCTTGCTGTTGTTCTAGAAGATTTAGTATGCTCGATTCAAGATATTCATGTCAGTCGTAAATCTGTGTAAACTTATACAAATGCACAATTGCCTTGTGTTTAGAATAAGCATAATGCATTTGGATTTTTTTTTTCATTAAACCTTGGAAAATAACTGCAAACGTATATCTGCGGAGATGCTTGTCTTTTATCATATCCTGATTGTGGTATATGCTTGCAGCTTATGGAACGTTTAGTGTGGCCGAGTTATTCACTGATAAGTTTCTCTACTGGTAATATTTTGCAGCCTTACTTCTTACACCCCCACCCCACCCCAGATAGAAACCTAGAAAGAAAAAGAGAAGATGATAGTATACAGATACAGTTTCAAGTTTTTGGTTAGGTTTGACTGTTGTATTCAAAGTTGGTTATTTGTTTTGGTTTTATCAGGTTTCCTCTATACTATCATGCGAAGTTTGCATTTCTTGTGTGGCTTCAACTACCGTCTGTTGATGTAAGTTTTATCCATACCTTTTCATGTTTTTACTTAAAACATTTCTCTTTTAATTTTTCCAAATTGTTAGTTGAACTACGCGACATACCAGTTCTTACTTCTTTGCCATTTCTTTGATGGAATTATTTCCTTCTAACTTCATGAGAAATTTCAGTTTCCATTTAACGTGATCTAAGTCCGAATCAGATCATGTTTACATTTTACTGCAATTATTATCAAGACTGCAAAATACCCTTTTATTATATTATGTCGGAACTTATCATCAGTCTATACAGTCTTAAGGGTTAACACAAATTTATACTCTTTTACTACACTGTTTCAAAGGTGATATATTATACAAGATTCCCATATGTAATACAACAGACTCATAAATCAAATATTACAACTCCAGCAACCGGGTCAATATGCCAGGGATATCGACTCTCCCTACGTTAACTTACTGAGCAAACAGTAAAAATCAATTTCCAATTACAATACATGAATATCTTACTTCTTGAAGTATGTATACCAATTGCATGCACAACGTTGTATATACTGGGGGTGTTTGCCTTGATAGCATAATACTTATTATGTTTAATTTGCTAATCGAACCTGATTACACTAGATCTTTAAACTTCGTTTGTGATATTAAGAATTTGAAGAAATAACTGAGCTTGATGAATCGAAGTAAATTTTGCCGATTGTCTATTAATCAATGTGGTACCGTCTCATTCACAGAGTGGCCTAATCGTATTCATGCTAGGTAAATGGTATTTTAGAATTATTATTCTTCGGAAACGACCAAGAATATTGATGCCGTTATTTTATTATCCTGTTTGTGCAGGGGGCAGAGCAATTGTATAAGAATCACCTAAAACCCTTCCTCCGAAGGCATCAAGCAAGACTTGATCAAATTGTTAATTTCACCTACGGTGAAATGGTAATTACTCTTGACCTAAACCTTGTCCTCGTTATTTAACATTTACCGTAGTATCCCGGATAATAATAATACTATTCTATATGTGCAGGTGAAATTCGCTAGTAACCATGAAACAGAAATTCAGATTGGTAGGACGCTTGTTATGAAGATTTTGTCGTCAGGTGCTCGTTTATTTTATTATAGTTGATTAATTTGATAGTATCATTTTAATATCTATTTTATTACTTACGATTAGTATTTTCTCTCTCTCTTCTCGTGAATAGCTAATCATGTGGTTCATGAAATAATTCGGCCCGGACAAAGGCCAGCCAATGGTTCTGCAATTGAAGCTCCTCCACCAGAATTGTCGGAGACTTCAGATTCAGACGATGAAGAATGATAAATTTTTGTGACTAGAAGATTCATAAATCTTATTAAACGTAGAGCTTTTTTTTTCGTTTGAATACCGTTTCTTCTTGTAAAGTTTGTTCAAGTAGGAGATGAAGAAGATGTCTGGTTTTTTAGGTATTTTGTTTTAGTAGGATCTATGTCTGGCTTTTTTGCATGTTTTTTGTTTTATTTTATCTTCTAATTATTGTTATTATTATTTTTTAAATATAAGAAACGAAGTTTGTAAACAGTTCAGAAGTTGTATTTTGCAAAAATGATGATGATTAATTTTTTTTTTTCTTATTTACCATTTTTTTTGTTTATTATAATTTTAAAAATTAAATTACTTTTTTTTAGAAATGAATGTATTTTAAAGGCCCAAAATCTAGTGTTTAAGGAATAAACCATCATACAAACAGATTATTCACTGACCTAACGTAAATTATTTTTTAAAATAAAATTACAATAAAATAAATTTATTACAAAGAAATAAAATTAGAATAAAGAAATTTATTATAGAATTTAATAATATTAATATTAAATATTGAATTCCCTAAAAAGAATCTCTCCACTATGTCGAAACTCGAAAGTCCACTTCCCTGAAATTTCAACCAGAGTTGCATAAATTACTTGATTTACTCTCTTAATTATCTTTTTTTCTTTCTTTATTTATGTTGTTGAATAATGCAGTATAATTAAATTCTTTCAATCGGTGGTGAAAAATCATGATTGGTGTACGTAGAGAAAGTGGCTTGATGAAAAAGGACGGCGGCGACGGCTTTAAATCGCTGCGCGGATCGAGAATCGCCGCCGCGATCTTCGTCGGATTGTTAGTCGGCTGCGTTTTCGCATTCTTCTACCCCGACGGATTTTTCGTAATTCACCACCAAGTCGCCACCTCCGATTCAGAGGTCTTAATCTTCCTTTTCAACATTTGATATTTCAACATTTTGATTTTTGATTTTTGATTTCTGATTTTTGAATTTTTCACCAAGCGTTGACTTATACAAATGTATGTTTGACTTTGAGATTTCGTTGCACTGTGTAACTGGTAATTGAAGTTTAACTGGCTTGATCTTTGTTAGCTATTAGTTTGTTGCTTTTGATTTTGATAAATGATTAGAAAAAAATGTGAATTATTTTGTTGAACAATGTTGTTTTGTGTTATTGTTGTACAATATTCTGATATTACAATTGCAGTTTTGCTGCTGATTGAGAATTAATCTGTAAATGTTAGGTACATAAACTTCTGTTAAAGCTGCAATTTGCTACGAATTTATGAATCGGTGTTCTTCGTAAATTATATTCATTATGACTGGTTCTTGATAAATTGTGTTTTAAGATTCAAATAATTAGATATGCTGAGGACTTGATCGTTGTATTGCTTTGATCCTTTCGAGGTTTCCGATCTGTTCCTGTATTTGTAATTCGTATCGATTAGATCCTAAACTTAATTTTATCCATCAATTTCATATCACTCGCAGGTCGTGACCTCTTCATGCGAAACATCGGAGCGCATCAACATATTAAAATCAGAGTTCGTTTCTGCTTCGGAGAAAAACGCAGAGTTGAAAAGGCAAATCAGGGGTTTGACCGAGAAGCTTCGCTTAGCCGAACAAGGGAAGGATAATGCACAAAAGGAAGTATTAGTATTAGGCGAACAGCAAAAAGCCGGTCCCTTCGGCACCGTTAAGGCATCAAGAACCAACCCCACAGTTATACCCGACGAATCTGCCAACCCAAGATTAGCCAAAATACTCGAGAAAGTAGCTGTCAATCGCGAACTCATTGTCACACTAGCAAATTCAAATGTTAAAGACGCGTTGGAAGTGTGGTACACAAATATAAAGAAAGTCGGAATATCCAATTACTTAGTCTTTGCATTGGACAAAGAAATCGCTACTTTGTGCGAAGCAAACGATGTCCCGTTCTATAGGAAACTGGAAACAGATACCAGTTTCGACTCTGTAGCAAAAACAGGAGGAAACCACGCCGTCTCGGGTTTGAAATTTCGGATCTTGAGGGAGTTCTTACAGCTAGGTTACAGCGTACTTCTGTCGGATGTCGACATAGTTTACTTACAAAACCCATTCGATTATCTTTACAGGGACTCGGATGTGGAGTCAATGACAGACGGTCATGATAACATGACAGCTTATGGGTTCAATGATGTTTTCGATGAACCAGCTATGGGTTGGGCGAGGTACGCTCATACTATGAGGATCTGGGTTTATAATTCGGGTTTTTTTTATATAAGACCAACATTACCCTCGATCGAGCTTTTAGATCGTGTGGCTAATCGATTGGCTCGTGAGAATGCGTGGGACCAAGCTGTTTTCAACGAGGAGCTTTTCTTTCCTTCACATCCTGGTTATGAGGGTCTTCATGCTTCTAGAAGAACTATGGATTACTATATGTTTATGAACAGTAAAACTCTGTTTAAAACTGTTAGGAAGGACTCTAATCTTAGAAAGCTTAAGCCGGTGATAATTCATGTGAATTATCATCCGGATAAGCTTGAACGAATGAAAGGCGTTGTCGATTACTATGTGAATGGGAAGAAAGATGCTCTGGATTCATTTCCTGATGGTTCGGAATAGTGATAATGTTCGTATTTGGGGGAAAAGAATTGATGCATTCGTTTTGTTGGCATTTACAAGAATAGTTGGTTTTTAATGTTTTCATAGCTTGTTAAGGAATTTGTGGATTTTGTTGTTATAACATGAGAATTATAAATGTTATTTGATGTTCTTGTTCGAATAGTATTGACTGTGTAGCAAGCTGTAAGGCATTTTTGTTTCTGAAGAATTTCGAGCAATTAATGGGGATGCGTATACGTGTAATTTATAAACCGTAAAATTATCTGCTGCTGGTCTCATTCGGCATTTCACTATACAACCAAATTACTGGCAGTTAATTTCATTATTAATATTTTTTTAAATAATCTAAAGCAAACCATTTCGACCAGGCGTATCTGCTTCCACTCTGCTGATGCCTATTCCGATTTCTGATAACTCCAACCGTCAATCTATTTGAGGATTTGTAGCAGGATTCTTTGCTTCAAGAATGTCTATTACACATGGTTTGTACATCTTCTTTAGCTCATCCTGCACAAACATGTCAGCAATATTTAAGTGATAAGTCGTTATATGAACAGTAAACGAACAGTCGAAACGGAAGACATTGAAAGAAAATGTATAGTAGAGGGAACGGACCATTAAAAGACTATTGGCATCGGTAAGCTCCATGCACATAGTAGCACGCTTCTGCAATTCACGAGTGAGCAAGAAAGTCTCCTGCCTCAGTTGACTCGCCTTGACTTTCAAGTAATCACGATATTCCTGATCAAAGAACAAGCCAAGTTTGTTAATGCTGAATATACATATTGTTAACAGCTTTCTGTTTTATATGTGCATTGGTAATAATACAACAAACCTTTTCAGCTACTTTATGGCTTGAGATTTTTTTCAACTTCTTTTTTGTCGGCGGTCGTACATCCTGTTCACAAAAAAACAGATTGATGATGAAATCAAACTTAAATAAGATCAAATTCTAGACTTTAGGAAATTGTCATCAAAAACTTAAGTACCAAGTCACGTGTTTTCAAGAAAGTTCCAAGATAACGGGAAGTGGCCAGAATGCAGCTTCATTTAATATCTTCCATTAATAACATCGGTTATCTATATGAGGAAAGAATTCTGAAACTTGTATTTCACTTCTTTACGGTCCAGGCTTAAGGGCAGATGAAAAATACACCGACTCATATTACCGAATAGATATATTCACCTCTGAGAACTTATGTTTCAGAATAGACATAATTCAACTACTTCAATTATTTTTGGTTTTATGCATTCATTGATTGATATAATTGACTGCGAGATAATAATAATAAAAAATTATGATCTGGACATAAATGATGAATCAACGTAAATATAATGTGTCGAATAAGTACCTGAACCATTTTTTTAGACAATAGCTCCTCCTTTGAGCCAAAAGCTGGATTCTGTATACAACCTTGTCGGTCTGAAACATTAGCAATTACACGTAAGTATAAGATTATTGTATTTTCATTATCTTGCGAAAAGAATGAACATCCGCAATTACCTTTTTGTTCCTTCTCTGAACAGGTGCTCTTCCCAATACTGGTATACTGCTGAAGACAAAGACGGACATGTAAAAGTAAATAAGTAGACGACTCGTACATATAACAATTTCGAACAAGATTCAGCTGTGGGAAATATTTAAATATTTCTCAAATAATAAAGTATCAAGTTATTTCAATTTCTGAGGAAGCTTAGCTGGTGACTGCAAAACACTTTGAATGCATTGCACTTACCTCGGAAGGAGTTTTATCATGTATTTGATCCGCAGGTCTGGTTATTCTGAAAAATCGAAGTCATTCCAAAAACATTATTAGAAGGAAAATTAATAAAACAACCAACAACGATGAGGAAAGAGGAGATCAAAATTGAAAACAATGAGTTTGAGCAAATTGATAATCAGTGACTGAACGACCTTTGTGAAGAACCCTCGTTTCCAGGATCTGTAGCTTTTTCAACCTTCTTTTGCTTTCGATTGTATTTTACCACTAGTTCCCACTTTTTCACATCCGAATTTTCTTCAGTCGCGGAATTGGTTGACCCTAAATCCTGAACACAAGGGGGAAACCGAAAACTATTATGAACCGCAAATTTCAGAGGCAAAAAATGCTAAATGAATCACAGCGTATGCAGAGAACTACGACTTGGTATATGGAACTAGGTAAATAGAATTCAAGTTGCTTCTAATGCTGAATTAAACAAATTTCTTTACAGGGAAAATCACTAATACTACGAAGTTGGCATTGAATGCAAAATTAGTCATTCTAAAGGCCAATAAATACTTGCAAATTGCTAGCAACCTAGATTTTATAGTACGACAAATTGGCGATCTGAATCACTTGTGATGAGAATTGGAAATGTAAAGGGAAATAAAGGAAGGCGAACCTTGGTCGGTACATCGTGTAAAGGAAATTTAAAACTTCTCATTTCTTCGCTAGATTCCATCTCCAACGAACGTTTGCATTTCCTCAACATCGTGGATTAAAGCAACGTAGTTCTGACCTATCAATCAAAATATTTCTTCAATAGACTGTTCTGATACTATTACTGCTGCAACATCAAACTAATTTTCACGGGGAATAAAAGTTTATGCTTGTGAACTAACAGTTTGAGTCGATACATCTAGAGATACGTTTCCGACAAATATCACAATCAATTTGCAAATAATAGCTTCTCAATTTTATATTGCAAGGCTTACACAAACAATACTGAATCACTAATCAGAGTTCCAAATTCACACTCTACTTTCAAATATATAAACTAGTTACGTTGTGCGAAACTATTCGAGAATCAGAATAGTACAATTAATCAAAAAAACGAGCAAAACGCACGCGGACTATTCGAGAATCGTACAATTAATCGGAAAAAAAGAGCAAAACGCTCCATTAATCAGAATCTGTAGAAGTACTCGCAAAGACAATTTTCTAGATTAATAGTATCAAAACCGCAATAAAATAAATTTAATTCAAACAGCTCGCAATTGTACAGATCCAAATCTGAAAGAAAAAAAAACAGAAGAAGATGAACTCGTTAACCTAGAAAATTCCAATACTAATTAATCGGAGGTTTCGTGTTTTCTCGTAGTGCAGAGACGAAGGCAACTCAGTTTAATCCAACATACGAACATGCACGCACAGATACACACACAGATACACACATATAGATGTGTGTGTATATATCATATATACATACCAGAATAATTGGGGGAGTTGTGAGAGAGAAGACTTTGAGATTGAATGTCGATGGCGCCAAAGAGAAAATTGGAATTGATTCCTCTTTTATTTATTTTTTTTGTTATTAAAAATATTCCCGTTGTTATATATCTGAATATTTAGAGACGTGAAAATCCTTGTTAAGAAAGTGATTTGTAATCAACGGTGCAGATTACCCTGACTTCAGATGGACGGTTCAAATCAAACGAGTAGGGCTTCTCTTGTTGGGCATATCTGGCCGAGATGGGCCTGTGAAATTTTTCATTATCACGGGCCGAACTTCAGTTAGTTTCTAGGGTTAATTACAGTTTGGACCTCTGTATTATTGTGGTTGTCGCATTTGCCCCCTTGAACTATGAAATGTGACATAATAGTCCCTGCCGTTTTGGAATCGTTTGCTCTACCGTTAGATGGAAATCAATTTATGCGTTGACCAAATGTTTGGAAGGAGCTTGTTAGCTTCTTGGGACAAGTTTAACCCTCCTGCTCTAATTTTAATAGTGTTCTTCATTTCTTTATCGAGTAGTACTTCACTCGTGCGATGTACGTGGATTTTTATCATGAAAGCATATTATCGAGTAATATCAATCTATTTTTCTATCAAAAACCGGTGAAATACAACATCGATCTACATATAATTGCATACACAGTCAAATATATGTATACTTTAGTGAGTAATTATTTATGTAACTTTACGGTTTAAAATATGGTGTATTTAAAGAGTAAATATACTTGTATTTGTCACAATCCCTCTCAAATTTTGGAAAAGAGAATGTCGATAGTAAGTTGAAATTACAAGTCAAACTTTTTTCCCACCGTATTTTTATTTATTTTTTTCTTTTTTTTTTCTTTCAAGTTTCAACTAAGCTTTGAACGGAAAAGAAAAAAGAAAAAAGAAAAAAAAAAAAAAAAAAAAAAAAAAAAAAAAAAAAAAAGGAAGGGGCCAGCTGTGAACTCTGATTTCGTACTTGATATTTTTCTCTATTGCAGAATCTCATTCTGCAGCCAAACTGTATAGAAAGAGAAAAACACAATGCGCGTGTTGCAACCCAACTTTCAGGTGTTGATATCTGCTTTGAAAGCGGTGCCCTTTTCTTTTTCTTTTTCTTTTTTTTTTCTAGTCAAGAAGAAATGAGTGCCGTTTTTCAGTAAGGTAATGATTCATACTGGTTTATGATTTTTTTTTTCTTTATTTTTTTTTAAATTATTTAAATCGTGATTTATTTTTTGGCTTTATTTCTTAATGTGTGTTTTGTGCCCTGGAATTTTTATTTGCTCTGTTTATGCTGTTAATGTATATGAATCTGACTTTCTTTTCCCGTAAGGCTTGCTTAGTATTTCCCATTTTGATTCTGTAGATCCACATTGTTTTTTTTGTTTTTTTTGCTTAGAATGCATTGATGGGATTTTAGTGCTAATATTCTCCGAATTTCGATTTAATTAGTAACAATGGGGATGCGTATTTGCTGAGGTAAAGGGAAAAAAATGATTAATTCATTTGAATTTGGAATTATTGAGAGATTTTGGTGGCTCATGTTAGCAAAAATCAAGGATTAAATCTCAATTGTGTGATTCAGATACTGAACTAAGTTGATTTTACATGTGGAGTTTATTAACATCTATTTTTTTTTTTTTTTTTTGCCACAGGTTGGATTAGATACTGTTTTTTTCGGTTTGGAATATGAAATCGAAATTAAAAAATGGGTGGAGATCAATTATGCCTCTTCATACGCAAGGCGAATTAGCAGCTCGTTTTTGCGTGTTTCCTAAAATAAATAAATCGGCAAGCTGTAGTAGCCCTGGCAAAACTCCTGTTTATCTGAACGTGTACGATTTAACTACAGTCAATGGCTACTTCTATTGGGCTGGTGTTGGTGTTTTTCACTCCGGAATCGAAGGTAGCCTGCCTATATTACGCTACATTTTATTTTATCGAAATATGTTCATTGTGCAATTTAATTGCCTAAGTTAGATTTGCTATATACAGAACATACGTTTTTTTTTGCGGCATTGTGTTTGTATAAACCAAATGCAAAGAATCAACATTATTGCATATTGTCCCCATTGAATATTTCGAGTTACGAAGATGCTTTTAGTGCATTTTTCTTAATCGAAAACGTCTTAACATGAACATAATTTATAGTTGGCTAAGTTAATTATTATGTATCAAGAGATCTTAGTACGAGCAATGTGTTTACGAGTCGCTTTTCTTGGCTTTGTACTAATATGTCTTCGTAAGAAAATAAATCCCACTTCTTTTTTTGTTTTCTTTTTATTTATTTATTTTTAATTTACCCGTAAAAGAAATTCTTTTTGCAGTTCATGGTAGTGAATATGCGTTTGGAGCGCACGATTATCCAACTAGCGGAGTATTTGAAGTTGAACCAAGGCAATGCCCCGGTTTTAATTTCCGGAAGTCGATTTTTATAGGCACGACAAATTTGGACCAAAATCAAATAAGAGAATTCATGGAGGACCAATCCGCAAATTACCACGGCGATACCTATCACTTGGTTGTTAAGAACTGCAATCATTTCTGCGAGGACATGTGCTACAAACTAACGGGAAAACGAATACCAAAGTGGGTGAATAGGCTAGCAAGAATCGGATCATTCTGCAATTGTATACTTCCCGAGGCCCTTAAAACAAATACGTCGAATTATCGAGAATCGGACTGTGAGAAGAAGAGTTTGAGAGGCTCTTCTCTTCGGTGCTTCTCTTCGATTTCTATGCACCAGAAAGAGAGAGAAAACGAAGACGAAGAAGAAGTGTCGATATCATCATTGTTTCTACATTCTCACTATAAAGGCTGTTTGCCTAATTGGGATTTGAAAAAATTCAGAAGTAAATCTGTGAAAGAAGGGTAGACAATAATACCCTTTTTATGGTTTCTTATAAGGGGATTAAAAAAAAATGTTAATTTATTTTTTTGTGTGAAGTGATGGGTATTCTTGTCTTTTATGTAGCTTGTTTTCTGTGTGTGTGTGTGTGTGATGAATGATGGTTTTCTTAGTAAATTATTTTGGTGGTGATTTTCCATGTTATACTTATGAGTTCCATATGAGATGATTTTTTGCTTCAATTTAGTTGGATGTTAGATGAAATAATAATATATAAAATAAAATAATAAGTAAATAAAGAAGAAGCTCGCGAACTGTCGAACAACTATAACCGGCCTCGGGCTCGAGCTCGAGCTCAGAAAACCCGAGATTTTGTCGAGTTAACTCGTTGGGTTCACGAGTCGGCTCAGCTCGTTAACCCCGTAACTACACCGTTGACAAAAATCTTGAAATCATAATCCCATATTTGTTTGGCATGACTAAGATCTATAATCCCTGCACTGTGATTATATTAAATACCATCTGCCTAACTTGTAAACTTTCCTTTTACCATAACCATCACTTCATCTATTTAATATAACAATTGAGCTTTGTTTGATTCGTATATTGATATATTAGAGTTTAAAATGTAATTCAATATGTATGGAAAAAGTATGAATTTTTGCGTGAGAGATTATCCCACATTGGAAATGTATAAGAAAAAATAGCATTATAAATTAGCGTAGAATTAGATAACGTGCAGCGGTTAATCTTGTGGGCTAATATTGGATTCTTGAGTGGGTTGATTCGATTGTATTTGTGTGTGCTTCTCTCTCCTAGCCACCCTAGGTGGGGTTGTACCGTAAGTATGGTGTGGACCCAATTACGCTTAAGAGTTCAAGGTCCATGAGATTAACCCTTTTGCCAAAAATACCCTCAATAATATCTTTCGAGTTTCATACGCGTTTTTTTTTTGGCTCCTCTAACTTGAATGTTTACCAAAAATACCCTCAATTATATGTTTTTTTTGGCTCCTTTAACTTGAATGTTTACCAAAAATATACCTTCAATAATATGTTTCGAGTTTCATACTATTCACCGAACTCAGATATGCGGTTCGCTTTCGATAAATAATCAAATTACCAAAATTTTATTAAAAATATTTAAAATTTTGATTTTTTTTAAATAAATTGTAGTATAAAAATAATAAATTTTAATTTAAATACTAATATTACATATGCAAATACATATATATTTATATAAAATGATAAATAAAAACTAAATTTCGGTATTCGGTAAAATAGAATTACCGGAAATCTAGAAACCCTCTATTTCAATAAAAAAAAATCATATAATTAGCTGCAGATTTTCTATATCACTTGTATTAATGAAATTATTAACCAGCTGCCTAACCTCTCAAGATTATAATTACTAAAAGCCTGCCTAACCTCTTAAATTCTTTTTTAAGGCATAACAATTTCATCTATTTAATACACTAATTTTCGAGCCTTCGATCGTAAAACTACATGCAAAATCGTGCAAATCTTTTTTCTTTTTTTTTTTTGTTTTCTAATCTAAAAATGTGGTCTATTGAAATATATATTGTTGGATTTGTGATTGTATTGGTAACACAGTTGATAACAATATACAGATGGAGAAATCCAAAATGTAATGGGAAACTTCCACCTGGTTCATTAGGGTTTCCTTTTATTGGAGAGTGTCTTGAACTCATTTTTCCCGCGCATTCCTACGATGTTCATCCTTTCATTAAAAAGAGGCTCCAAAGGTAATTATTTACGTTCAACCCATTTCGATTGCTGTGGAAATTAGAACGGAATTTTCAATTTCCGACAATTTGATCCCAGAAAGAACGAAAAAAAAAAAAACGATGTCGGAATGAATTTTTCCATTCCGATTTCTCGATTTTTTCGAAATCTTTTAAGTTGAAATTGGATGGTGTGTATTTAAACTAATTGAAAATCCTAACTATTGATCCGGTTTTATTATTTATTATTTTTTTTAAATATGATTCATTTTGCACAAAGTATATTTATATGATGTATTTAAATTACAAATTATTTAAAATAAAACTCGGTTCGTTCCTAAATAATTGTCGTTTTTCAGTTCTGTACAAGTATTAAGAATTCCAAAAAAGGTATCTTGACTTTAGGAAAAAAAATATATTAAAAAGAATAAAATAACCTTGATCATTTAATATAGGTAATACGTATAGTAGTTGAATAAATATGGATAAAGTCATAAAACAGGAAAAATGCATTTAATGCACTATTGAAGCTTTAAAGTGACGGATAATACGGAACAAAAATATTTCTCTGAAGTGACAGTTATAGCGTATTACATAAAGCGAGTCACAAACTCGTTTTTAATTTTTCAGATACGGGCCGGTGTTCCGCACAAACATTGCAGGCAGAAACGTGGTCGTGTCGGCAGATCACGAGTTCAACAGTTACATTCTACAGCAAGAAGAGAAATTGGTGGTTCGATCGTATCTCGATTTATTCGAAAAGCTGTTTAAACAATCAGGTAAGCTTA